TCCTTCGTCTGTGTATGGTTGGGGCTGGCGCAGTCTTCTTGTGTGAAGCGCCAGACCCCCTTCACACCAGATAACGATGATGATGATGTGTGTTCAGAGCTGCATTGCAATATTGATTGTTCGGATCATTCGTATCTAAGTCTTCCGCTGTGTTATTTTGTACTTTGTATTGAGGGGTCGGTTCTTGATCTGGTTTGCACGTTACAGTATGCAACACTCGGTGTGTGACGGGCGTGAGGCTGAGGGAGAGCCGAGGGAGAGCCGAGGGAGAGGAGCGAGAGAGGGAGAGAGTGAGAGCACACACACACACTCACGCACTCGACTCTGAGGGTCGGACGCAGACACAATGGCAAGGCACAAAGTCCAAGTCTTGGATTCCGAATGCCGAAACAGCAAGTCACACTGAGTACGAGTACAGCAACAAAAAACTGGTACGAGACTGGTCCCCGTACCATATGGGGAACCCGTATAAGTACCGGTGACACGTACGGTACCATCGGCATTTCTGCAAAGGCCTCGAGGGCAGAACTGAAAAATGCGGTATTTGAAACTGGCGCCCGAATTGCAGCATGGCACCAGTTGTCCAAAATCCTACGGTACCAACGGAGGGGTTTGGAAAAAGGGTGCCAGGCCGAAAACGGATGCAGCCGAAACAGCAAAAAGATAGACCAGGGATCGAGGCGTGGCGGAGTCCGTAACACTATCCCCTCCCTCTAGAAGGCAACGTCCCGGCTGCCAAAAATCATGAAGCAATGCTGAAATCTGTGAAGGACGGGACGGGCCCAATCACTGGTTAACAAGTCGAAAGGGAAGAGGGGTATAATGTGGGAGGCATGGGCTGCGGGAGTAGGAGGGAACAGGGTTTGGTACCGGTGAACAGGGTTGTCCTACAGATGAACTAGGGGAGGTTGCAGGGAACAAGGTAGTCCTTCAAATGAACTAAAGGGACGGCAGGGAGCAGGGGTCAAGGGGGAACAAAGTACAGGGAACAGGGAACTTCTATGGATGTTCCACTGGGTAAGGGAAACGGTGTTCAGGAAAACAGGGTATTTCTATTGATGTTCTAGTGGGTAAGGGAAACAATGGTCAGGGGGAACAGGGAATGCCTATTGATGTTCTAGTGGGTACGGGGAACAATGATTTGGGAAAGAGGGATCTGCTAATGATGTTCTACAGGGTTGTCAAAGTCAGGAAAAATAAAAATGAAAATGTTTGTTCAGGATGCAAGGGCTGGTGTGACGAGTGCGAGGCTGAGGGAAACCAGGAAGAGTCGAGGGGGAGGAGAGAGAGGGAGAGAGTGAGAGCACACACACACTCACTCACTCGACATGACCGAGGGTCAGACGCAGACACAGTGGCAAAGACACAAAGTCGAAGTCTTGGATTCCGAATGCCGAAACAGGAGCAAGTCACAGTGAGTACGAGCACAACCGCTGAAAACTGGTGCCAGACTGGTCCCCGTACCGTCCGGGGAGCCGGTATAAGTACCCGTGACACATACGGTACCAGGGGCATTTCTGCAAAGGCCCTGAGGGCAGAACTGAAAAATGCGGCATTTGAAAGTGGCGCCCGAATTGCAGCATGGCGCCAGCTGTCCAAAATCCTACGGTACCAAAGGAGAGGTTTGGAAAAAGGGTGCCAGGCCGAAAACGGGCTGCAGCCGAAACAGCAAAAAGATAGACCAGGGATCAAGCCCTGTCGGAGTCCGTAACACTATCCCCTCCCTCTAGAAGGCAACGTCTCGGCTGCCAAAAATCATGAAGCAATGTTGAAATCCGTGATGGACGGGACGGGGCCGATCACTGGTTAACAAGTCGAAAGGGAAGAGGGGTATAATGTGGGTGGCATGTGCTGCGGGAGTAAGAGGGAACAGGGTTTGGTACCGGTGAACAGAGTTGTCCTACTGATGAACTAGGGGGGGTTGCAGGGAACAGGGTAGTCCTACAAATGAACTAAAGGGACGGCAGGGAGCAGGGTAGTCCTACTGATGAACTAAGGGTACTGCATGGTTTGCTATAGGTTAAGGGGGAACAGAGTTCAAGGAACGGGGAACTTCTATTGATGTTCTACTGGGTAAGGGAGACAGTCTTCAGGAAAAGAGGGTATTTCTATTGATGTTGTAGTGGGTAAGGGAAATAATGGTCAGGGGAACAGGGGATGTCTATTGATGCTCTAGTGGGTACGGGGAACAATGGTTAGGGAAACAGGGATCTGCTAATGATGTTCTACAACGTTGTTTAAGTCAGGAAAAATAAAAACGAAAATGTTTGTTAAGGATGCAAGGGCTGGTGTGTCCGAAGGAGTCGGAATCAGAATCTCATGTAGGAACAAAGTGTCCAAGTGTCTTGAAAGGGGGTCTGCAGCGGTCTTGATCAGGTCTTTGGAGTAGGAAGTAGAAGCGGGCTTCAGCGGCTGCGATAGGTAGAAGTCCAAGAAGCGTAGTAGTAGTTCAAGTGTCAAAGTCCAAGTGCTAGCGTGCGTCCGGTACACGAACTGCAATGAGGTCTCATCTGGAAGCCAGGAAGTTGCAGATTGATGCAAAGATCCATGTCACAAGTTGCTGCTCCAGTAAGTCCGCGAGTCGGGATGCCGGCCGATGAAACAGCATGGTGGCCGAACCAGCTGCATAATCTCCATGAACAGTGAGGCAGCAGGCCATCGTCCTCGTGCGCTTGTCATTAGATCCTTTATCGCCGGCGTCACGCAGGTTCACAAGCATTGGACAAGAGAGACAAGGTAGTGGAGAGGACAGATGGGACAAGGCTAGGCGAGGGCAAGGGCAGATCAGACATCAGGAATGAGGGTCAAGGGGGGGGGCAGACTGGGTTCAAGGGTGTGAGCGGAGTTGCGAGGTTGTAGCAGGGTTTATGCCATAATTATATACGTATCTAGGACATAGGATTAGCACGATCATAGGCGCGGACAAGTTTCACGGCGTTCTTAAGATTAGAGAGAGGTTCCCATGTAGATTCTTCGTCGGGGTATCCGGTCCATTTGACTTTGTATTGAGTGATTGGTTGCGTTTGATCAGATACCTGAGTGGTTTGTCGACCGATGATGGTTTCGCCAACGAATTCAGGGCCGTGAAACTTGTCTAGGATATGGGCGGTCGGCGAACTGGGGCGGGGATACATGATATTCTTTTAGGTACTCGACATGGAAGACCGGGTGGACATGACTCATCGCGTCTATGTTTGTAGTTGACGGGGGAGGTTTCTTCAATGATGGGGAAGGGACCGAGCCATTTGTTGGAGAGTTTCTTGGACAACCCGTGTTCGGGTTCAAAACGTTTGGCGGAGAGCCAGACTTTGTCCCCTACTTTGAATGACACGTCGCGTCTATGTTTGTTAGTCTTGTTGGCTGGTTGTTCTTGGGTTCGTTCAATGACTTCGGAGGCTTCTATCAGGAGTCTGTTCATTGTTGCTACCCATTCATTGAGAGAGGGGCAGGGGGTGGATGGGTTAAGCTGTGAAGGGAGCAAGAAGTCGGAGGGCAAGCGTGGGTGGTAGCCAAGGTCGAGGTAGAATGGGGACATGCCGGTGGAAGGGCGGACGGTGTTGTTGTAGTCAATCTCGGCGGCTTTGTGATCCCAATCGTGTTGGTGTGGATGACAATACTTCCGCAGGATTCTTTGGAGTGTATTGTTCATCTTCTCTGTTTGTCCATCGGTCTGTGGGTGGAATGCAGTGCTATACTTGAGCGTGGTTCCAGAGGCCATGAAGAGGTCTTTCCAGAATTGTGAGAGGAAGCGAGGATCACGGT